TTATGACTTAGCTATCTCATAATTATGAGACAGTGTCTCATAATTATGACTTAGCTATCTCGTAATTATGAGATACTGTCTCATAATTATGACTTAGCTATCTCGTAATTATGAGATACTGTCTAATTATGAAATAGTATGCCATAATTATGAGATAGCTAAGTCATAATTATGAGACAGTATCTCATAATTATGAGATAGCTAAGTCATAATTATGAGATAGCTAAGTCATAATTATGAGATAGTATCTCATAATTATGAGATAGCTAAGTCATAGTTATGAGATGCAAGTTTTATTTATTTTTTTATCAAGGTGGCATAAATGGGCTTCCATAATATGCAAACAATCTCTTCATTTAAATTAAATAATTAACTGCTTCATAAGAACAAACATTTATTTAGAGTTTTTCTTTATCTTCTGCCTGGAGTCCATCTGTTTGACCTGTGGACAGTTTTTATTGTGGACAGTTGTTATTGTGGACAGTACTCAGACTGAGCAGCAGAGGGCGCCGTTCTGTCAGCATCGTCACCCACAATGCTTTGCGTTGCGTCCAGCCGTGTCTCGCTCCAACAATGCAGCTTTTAATGGAGCTGTGATATAAGGCTCGCTACATCACAGAAGCCTGTCCGGACACCGTGGTCGCTCCAGTTGAACCCGGGGAGATTTGTGCGGTTGTTCGTACCTGTAGGACGGGTTTTATCCTCCGTTTCTCGACACCCCTGAGCTGTTGTTTTTCCCCTGAGGTGAGTAGCTCTTTTCAAGCTAACATTTTGTTGTACTTGAGAGTAAATTACATTTTTTTTGTTATGACCACTGCTGCTGCAGGCTAGCAGGCGAGCTAATAGGACAGATGAGATCTGTTTGTGTGTTTTTTTTCTTTGCAACTCTCTACCTTTATCACCGTAACATCATGACTCCGTCCTTTTTATGTCCGACATTTCTAATAGTTACATAAAAATACGAGACTCAGGTCCATTTCTGCAGCCGCTCCAAGTCTTTTCTGCTCTTATTTAGGTTGAAAACACATCAAACAATCAGAAATGGTTGAAATTAAATTAGAAATTAGTTATTTAATTGATTTCGTATAAAACTTATCACCTCCAGTTCTTAAAAGTGCAAATAAAAAATGCCCAATCGTTCAGTAAGATTGGGAATATATATTTAAAATGGTTGTCACGTATATGCTCCAATATTATAAGGCAGTTATTACTACAAATAATGGCAAACATTAAAAAAAAAGCTTGTGATTGCTGCATTTCAACCTCATTTTAACCTCATATTCACAGCTGCATTAAATTAAACATAATTGATTCTGCATGAAATAATAATTAGAAGCAGCTCGTGATGTTTTATGAGATACTTCGCTAACACTTTTTCTTACAGCTTAGAATCAGTGTCAGGTACGAGCACAGCAAATTGTAGGTCAATACCTGCAGATCTGACTGAGTTATAATCATTTTTGGGGCCTTTTAATGTGAGCCGGTTGTTGCAGCCATCTCCTGTTATACATCCGATAAATATTTTCTGCAAGTTTCGTTAAAATATATCCATTGGTTCATGGGATATTTTGCTAACAGACAGCAACAGCAAGTCATATTTGTATTTATTTATTTCACATCGTATTCACTAGGGCTGTGTATTGGCGAGAATTTGGCGATACGATACATAAAACAGAGGGGTCACGATACGATATATCCCGAAATTAGGGGTGTAAGAAAATATCGATACACTGAAATATCGCGATATTTCATTTCCTGATACTGTATCGATATTCTAAAGCCCTGTATCGATTTTTATTAAAGTTTAAAATGTCAATTTTCCTGCCAGGTGTTAATTTTTATGTTGTTGTTCAGCC